AGTCAAGTATATGAGGACAGTATATCGTTGTAGTTTTTTTATAGATAAAAATCTCAAACTTGTTAAACAACTCATATTACAATTTCAGAGAGATATTTTCATTATGATTAATGCTCTGTACACTTCTCGAAGTTAATTAATTTTTAAGTATGAAGAGCCACTTAAACATTGTTTTATGAGAGCGGGTTGTCAGTTCAACACTTGACAGTTCTTTGAGATTAAGAATACCGCAAATGTTAAGTCTTCTTGTTTTAGGTCTTCTTGTTGTTAGGTCTTCTTGTTGTTAGGTCTTCTGTTGTCCCCTTGTTATCAATTTTTGTGAGTTTGAGAATGACTTGTTATAACAACGTTGTTTTCCTTGTTTCTCCACCTCTTATGCACTAGCTTTTTGATGATTTGCACAGAGGCAAAGCGAAGTTCACCATTAAGGTTTCTGACAATTGCAAGTCATGCTACAATGTTCGTCTTTTGAAGGTAGGAAAAATGTCCTTTACTTCTAAGAGCCATATATCGATGCCGTATGGCTATGACACTTAAAAGACGACTATGGCTACTAACATAACACATATTTGCTTTGGTTTGCTAGTTTTGGTCTTTATTTTCTTAGCCTTGTTGTTCTGCACGCTCTTTAACCTTTTTAAACCATCGGGTATTATCATGCTATTTTCTTATTTGTTTATTTACTTTCAATTGGACACTGCTCATTTTAATTTCAACCCTCATGGTCATCATGCTACCTTGCTTGATTTTCATTGTTTTGTTTTGTTTTTGTGTTTGTTTGTTTTCTTTCTAGTACTCGATATTACAGCCCATTCTATTTCTACCGCGCTGCGTCTTTTAATGAATAGTTTACTCAGCTCAACGTTTGCTAATATTAGGTTTTGTACACTCTAAGTTGTAATTTGAAATTGTATGGATACATATAAAGAGGTTTCCGTCGCTAGATTTGAGGGAAGCCATTTCGCCGGGCATTGAGATGTGTTTGATCTTGTTCAATATTTTCTTTAGTTTTACCGCAAATAGTAGAAGGCACGTTGTTTTGGTTTTCCTTTTAGTTCTAGCCATCAAGCAACGCCATATCACATCGCATTGACATGATATCTTCATCACTATCATGCTGTTATCATGACAGCTACTATCAAAATCATGAAAGCAAAGTTATGCGTTTGTATCCTCTTAACTGCTGCGTGCGTGACCTATTAGTGATTTCATTTGTTAGTGCCTTTCTATCCTATCAGTGAGAAACACGAATTGTTCTCATTTCCACCGTGGCTTGGTAGTGACGCATTTGATCTCTCTGCGTGGTTTTGGAACGATGATTGATCAGTCAGCAGCTTTATCTTTATTTTCCATAGATGTATGTTGAACTCTATGGAGATGAAACTCAAAGGGAAAACAACTTTCCAGCAACTGTTTATCTAAGACTGCGACATATGAGTGCCTCATTTTTTCGAGATGGAAATGGAGAAGTGAGAGAATTCCGACAACAAAACATGGACGTTTGGAGAAAGTTTGAATTTGACCGTTTTGCAATTACAGATACCGCCAAGTGCCAAGCAGAGAAGAAGAAGGGCAACAGTAAGTATTCATACATTGATTGACTATCAAAGAATTGTTCCATGCTTAGCGTGTGTATATCGAGTTATGGACGCATGCGGAAAGTTTGGAGAGCACCAGAGGAGCGTACCAGTTGCTCGAGCAACGCCGCCTCGAGCAACTCTAGCTTCTTTCCAGTGCCGGGCAGTGATACTCTAAAAATCTCGTTTCTTATCGATTGGACGTAAGAAAGTATTCTTTAAAGATAGGCCACCAAATTACTTAGTAAGCCTTTACGGTATCGGTGTGCTTTTTAGAGGATTCTCTATACTGCCTGGAGAAAGACGATGTTCGCTTTCAAGCAATGTGCTGCCATTACCTTAGTGATTCCCCGTGTCAGGACGTGCTGCTTGGAGCAGAAGAGTGTCAGAGTCCATTTGGATCTTACGAGCTGACTATACCTGTAGATGAAGACGTGGATTGCCGACCAGACAGTTCACAGTTAACAAATAAGAACTGCAAAGACTTTGACGTGAGTTTATTTATCATTGATATTGTGCTGGGAGGATACCTTACCAATATTTCAGTGCTAATCTTGTGCTTACCGTCTATTGCAAAAAGTACCGAACAGTTTTTGAAAAGTTGAGAACGTTTCTCAGAGGGCACGGCAACGAATCCTTCAATCTGATTGGCTCTTAGTGCGGTCCGTATTTTCTTATCTCTACCCACGGGCAACGATAACGCTTTCGTGAGTCGCCGAGTACATCCCTACCTTCGTTGCCATTTTTCCTCCATTTTTCCATCTCGTTTTGCCAGCTAGGCAGTCAGTCTTTTAAGCAAAGACATCAGTCACCACCTCACGCCGACAAATAACTCATTAATCCTCTCTTTTCTCCCTCTCAAATCACTTTGGTTGACAGAAATATATTGGTTTCAAAATGAATTTGTATTAGCAAAAGTGTCATTAAATCGGTTGACGAGTGGCCTAAGACCTGTTTGTAATTAATTTTAATCCTAAACAAAAAGTACCTGGAAAGTTAAAACGTGAGGTATTTGGTTACAATTGAATTAATATATGGAAATCTCATTCATTTAATATCTGAATTCTCTCAAACAACTTGTTCGTAGTGAAAGGGCGATCGAATTTTTAAGCTCTACAAAGACACTTTCGGTGAGTCTTTCCAAGTCCGTTAAATTTAGACATTTGTTCCGTAAATTGCACAACAGAAACTGAAGGAATTCAATGAGAAAAAGCCGCATGAAATCCCGTTGTGTCTAGTTGAAATGTCTCATTCGAATTTAGTTTCAGTGGAGAAAAGATCAGATTTACACACGCCATTGCAGTAAACAAACGAGCAAACTCTCACAACTTCAAAATCAAAAATTTGAATTTACTTACAATAACTTTCATTACCATTTACTCACTGAACAGAGGTAAATCTTCGTACATGAAAGTGAGTAATACTTTCCGCAAGACGGTTGACTGCTTTTGAAGAAAACATTATCGTGACAGGCCTTGCCAAACTAGTTCCGTTGTTTTTCCAAAAGTGTATATGCGTTTTCTTTGTTACGCGCTCTCTAACTGACAGTTGTCAGATTGTGACAGATACTAGTAAAATTTTTTAAACTTTGTTGGAAACCTTTTAAATAACCTTTATCATTACGCAAATGGAAATGTTTCGGTGAAGCTTCTCTCTTTAATTTGCATTACCTCTATTTTAACTACCATTTACTCGCTCAAAAATTGTTCAGTTTATGGAAGATCTTGCTGTAATTACAACCCCTAAATCATTCGGGTTCTTTTGGGAAGAATTTCGTTAAGTTTGTTAAAAAAAAAGGTTATTCACCAACCTAGCTCGGTCCGTATTGGGAAAAACAGTGCCCTCTGTCTTGAGTACCGCCCGATACCGACCTCCAGGCTGGCGAATAACATATATCTATACTTCACGATAAAACCCAGCCTATACTAGTATTGTAGAGGATAATATGACAGCTACGGCCATGACTGAAGTCTTTATGTAGGTGTAATCGCACGTGACCGAACACAGAAGCCAGAACACTCATTCTCAGCCTATTGAAATGACCACCCGCACATGTATTTCAATATTTTGTTCGTAAAGGGAAAAATCACTCTGTAATAAGAATGACCTTTATGGCAACGCACTAAATTCATTTTTTATCATGGAGAGAACTTATAATAGAAGGGTTAAGTCATGGACTTTTAGTAGTTTTAGCAAATAGATTATGTAGAAGCTATATTTTTTGTACATGTTTTATTCTTGATGGACACATATCTTACATGAGCATCCAAATTCTCGTCCTTCTTTACTTGTTTCCCCGATTTATACCTCTCTCCTATTTGTAGTTAATATACTTATTATGGTGTTTTTTTTTTTTTTTCACAGAGGAGCGTCTACACAAATATGAACGTATGGACACATTATTTATACTGGTCTGACAGATACCCAACCGGACCGAATGATGAGAAATGCGCCAGTCACTCAAGAGCCAAGTCTAAAATTTCGGTATCTGAGCCTTCCTCAGCTTTAGAGCCCGAGGCATTAAACGTCACAGGAAACAGAAGACAGATGCTCAATTAAACGTTTCTGATAATTACCAGGAGGAAAAAAGTGATACAACTTCTCTACTGGTATTTGAAAATAAGGGGCATGGAAAACAAGGAATCTTTACCAAGGTTTACAGTGGGTGTCCATCTCACACCTGACCATCTGAGCAAATCAGAATATTTGTCAAATGTCATAATTTGATATATCGAAAAAAATAGTTTACGCCGAATTGGTGGCAAAAGGAGTAAATGGTTTCACACCGTTTTTTGTGAGATTCAATAAAAATTATAATGATAAAAAACAAACTAATAAAATAAAAAACACGTTCTTCATACTGCCTAGGGATCGGTTATTATTTGTCGCTCGGGGGAAGGGAGAGGAGTCGCCCAGGGGAAGGGGTGAGGAATCAGAGGCGTTTGGTTCTGTTTACGATAAAATTAAGTTGATCCCCCCATAAAGTTCTGTAGTATTATCATGATCCTCTGGTCAATTGCAGGTCCTTTTTTTACTCTGATGTTGGCGACTGAGGCCCTCTTTGACCTTAGCCTGTGATCCCCATGTGATCCTACGCCACCCGTACTCCGGGGATAAATTAAGACTGGTTCTAAAATACACACTTTCACATCCTTTTTCCTATCACTCGGGCAACTACACCCATTACCCACCTATATAGTCACAATACATATCTTTACATATTCAAATCAATAATTGAAATCTATGAAAAACTGTTCTCATTGTTCTGCGCTGTGTATATTGTGTTTTCCAAAGAAAAAGAATGTCAATAGCATTATTCGGCTCCAAAGGTTGATGGACAAATGAAATATTTATATATTTGAGCAGGCCTCACACAAAAGCCAGATGCATCACAACCATTTTTACACAATTTGAAACAGCAAAATGGCCCAAATTGCTCTTCTTGTTTTAACTGCTTTTTCCACAATTACAGCCACTTTTCCATTTCCAGAGGAAGGTAAGTGGTCTCTTACAGACCGGTCATCCAAAAGTTAGCGCTATTGACTTTAGATCGAAAGGTGCAGGTCAAAATAATGACAGGGGTCGCTGAATTTTTTCCTCTTGAGTCAGAATTTCTCCCCCTCCGTAGAGGAGATATAAAAAAACAAACCAATTGTCAGAGGGTAAAAGTGATTCTTTAGACATGCCTGAAAAAATCCATCCACAATGGGTGAAATATTAATTGCTGTCATAATTTTTGATGAAATAAATTGCAGTTCGCCAGTAATGGTCACTGCTTTACTTGAGAATACCTCTGTATCTTCATACTACAGAAACGAGAATAACTTGTAGAGGGTATGCGGGTTATTTCGCAGTCTATCTTTATAAGCAGATAAACTCCCTTGCAGATGAGAAGAAGGCAAACACGAAAACCAGTTGCCCTTATTGTGTATTGCATTTAATTGTTTTCCTTTTTTTAAGGCAATACAGACGAGTCTCTTCATGAGGGCGACATCAAGCTGTCGCCTGAGCAACACGTTGCTCTTGAACTTTTTGGTGATCCAACTGTCTCTATAAGAGACGCTAGAGGGATAACCAATGAACGGAAACGTCTGTGGGACACCCTTGTAGTTCCATACAACATAACACTCGAACTGGGTGTGTATATACACTAGCCAATCACAGTTTATGTTTAATTTTTAGCTGACCTCTCTTCGTTCCATTTTCTTGTCTATTTTGATGAGTCATCCACGTTACTCACGGTGAAATCATTATTTGGCGCGATTAAGATACAACAATGAAAAGACTATTAAAATTTAAAATCCATCCCCTTGAATTTTTTCAGTTATTTTTTGCTCCCATTCTTAAACTCATTTTCTTGTTGTGACTGATTTAACATTTTCAGAAGAGAATCCTACCGCTAAAAATGTCATTCTTAGCGCAATGCGGGAGTGGGAACAAAGCTCGTGCTTGAAGTTTGTGAGAAGAACAACCGAAAAGGACTATATTGAGTTTTTCAAAGGAGGCGGGTGAGTTTTTTTCTATTAAGTCGTCTGTTTTTGTTTTCAAAGGATGTACACGAAGCACCTCGGAATAGTTATACGAGGGAATAGGGAAGGCGATCCTTGGGATCTAAAGGAAAAATTTTGGTAGACACCTAGGATGTGTAATACTACATATTGATTGTAATTCAAAATTAATCTTGTTAAAAGGATTGCTAAGGTTCTTTTTTTTTTTTTTTCGTCATTACACTTGTTTTTGTTTTGCGAAGATGTTGGTCATATGTTGGACGTCAAGGTGGAAAGCAGCAGATTTCACTGGCCAGCGGTTGCTGGTATCAAGGAACAGTTGTTCATGAAATGGGTGAGTGACATCTATCATGGATAAAAAAAAGGTTACATGCCAAGCTGCATTGTTTTTGAATTTTTTTTGCGTGTGTGTAGGACACGCTCTGGGATTCTGGCACGAGCAGAGTCGTCCTGACAGAGATGACCACGTGGAAATTGTTTGGAAAAATATACCAGAGGGTAGGGTCGATCACATCAAATCAATTATTTTCAGTTTCCAGTACTTTTTATGACTACAAGCATCTTAATTTTTAAGAAGTCAACTGCAATGCATCTTTCCTGTTCTCCTGTTCCCTCCTTCACTTCTTCCTGGTCCTCGCCCCGCCCCCTGTCCTCACTCTCCTCCTCCCCAATTATTTTCGTGTCCTATCACTTTCCTGTGCCCCTTCCCCTTTCCTCCTGCCTTCTCTTTTTCGTCTTTCTCCTTCTTCGCTCACCTTTCCATCTCGTCCTACTCATTTCGCACCCCTCCCTCGCTTAAACTTTTATGTAAGCGCTTCCTACGCCGTGTAACTGCCCTCTTCGTTCACCTTTCTCCCTTCCATTACTCTTCCTCCTAATTCTCTGCATGCTTTTCCACCTCCTTCCAGCCTGAAAGAAAATATTTCATCATTACTCACTGTGGTGAAATTTTGCTTTATCACAGACAAGAAGCACAACTTCAGGAAGTACAACGTATCTAAGATAGACTCGTTGGGGATCCCTTATGACTATCTATCAGTCATGCATTACTCATCAAATGCATTTGGTATCAATGGCTTGACCACTATCATAGCAAAGGATCCGTCCATCGAACAACTTGGGCAGCGGATTGGTCTTAGCCCGCTGGACGTTAGACAGGCTGACTTGCTATATGACTGCAAAGGTCAGTGATTGTAAGCCTTATTATGGTTTACAATGATCATTTAACAATTACTAAGACTTATTAAGTGAACAAGTGTTAAAAGGAGCGTACTATCAAACCTCTATCACATTAGTGGCAGTGATAATTTCGGTGCATTTCTTTAGATGATGATGTAAATAAAATAAATTGAATGGTCAATCTATTAATCCATAAGGTTAAGGAGTCAGAGCTAAAATATGACATTCTCGAAAAAGGCAAACATTAAATTCAATTCATCACGTGTATAGGCAGCCGGATTACAAACCTGAACCTATGCATCAGTTGCAAATGAAGTTAATATCTAAGTAATTGGATAAACAAATAACAAAGAGAAATGGTAATAGATCACTAATGATTTGTTTCCTCAGCGTAGTCCTTTAACGATCATTTCGTCATTTTCTCATTTCACGAAAAGGTATAACTACCAGGCCGCCAGCAAATCCCAGTCCTCTGCCACCCCCTGATGGTAAGCAGAAAAATCTTAATGATGAACTTAGTCAACTTATTCTCTTTTAAGCTGATCTAAAATTCTTCCCTTGTCGGTCAGGGCCCGATGACTGCACATTTGATAACAGTCTTTGCGGATTTACCAATATTGATCGCGATGACTTTGATTGGACAAGGAGAATGGGAAGGACTCCGAGTGGAAGGACTGGGCCTGAAACTGACCATACAACTCTCCGTTTTGGTGAGTAATCGGTTCTGTAGCACGTATTCATACATCTACATTCCATGTCCTTTCATTGTCAAAGTCAGTGATTTGATTTTGAAATCATAAAAACAGACAAACAAATGATGGAACAAAAAAAAAAAGTGACACATCGATTCTGTTTGTTTCTCTCTAGAGGTGTAACGATTGTAATGATAAAAGAAAATACTTGTACAATTTCTGCAGGATTTTTCATGTTCATTGAGGCTTCAAATCCCATGAAGCTTAATGATACGGCTGTACTCCAAAGCAAGATTTTTTTGCCTTCTGGCGAAAGGTGTCTACAATTTTATTACCACATGTACGGAGAAGACATGGGTGCGATACACGTTCTGTATTCATCTGATGCTGGAGATAAGAAGATCTGGGAAAAACAGCAAGATCAGGGAAATCAGTGGCATTTGGCTCATGTCCAGCTTTCTTCCGCGAAATCCCCTTACAGGGTGAGATATCTCTCACCTCTAAGTTTTACTTTGGAAGGCACGAAGGATTTGTAACATTAAGTTATGTTATGAGCCCGAAAGGCCCCCTGCTAGGGTTCCGTGAAGTTTCAGTAGCTTGAAGCTACAGCGAGTCCTTCATTTTTCGAAATTTAATTTTTTTTTCCAATGAGAGTTGCCCACAAATCAACGCGGGCACCATCCCAAATAAGTGTAGCATCAAAGAATAAATCAACGTTGCATCACAAAGGCGGGATACTCACAGTAAAGTGGACTAACTAATTTATCTTTGCTTGACACATTAAATGATCCCATTCTTTCTTAGATGAAAATATTGTTTCACAGAATACTTCGCCCGAAAAGAGTAGATTGAGTTTTAAGTATTAACGTGTACATATTTTTGTTTCCTGGTTAGGTAAAATTCGTTGGTGTTAGAGGAAAAGGCTATCGAGGAGATGCTGCTATTGACGATGTTTTCTTTACGGATGGAAAATGTCCGCGTTAACGAACCTTCTCTCTCGCGTATGTTTTTGTTTATTTTTTTAGTCCCTTTTAGATATAATTTTTTATTGGGGGCTTTTCGCTCAAGTTCGGATTTTTTTTTGTTGAATCATCAGAGAAGAGTAATAGAAATGACAGAGGATTAGTTATATACACAGGTTATTACTCAGCATTACTGAGCAGTTTGTGGAAAAGTTTCATCCAATAAAATCCGTCCGATTTGATATTTGCCAAGTTCAAAATTTGGTAACAGGGAAAAATTTACATAATAAGAATTTTATTCTAATCAATACTTCAAAGTTATAAAAGTGAGAAGATCAGTCTGAGGAGAACATACGTTATAGCTGTATATCATGTCACATAGATATGTAAATAGTGCTTTTCGTGCGTACTGATTAGTTAGTCCAAATTAAATTGATTAGCAAGGACTATTTACTTCCGAGCAGAATGTGCAAATTAAGCTTACTTTATTACCAAACGCTGCATATATTTTTTTTATGTACTTCTTGATTATTTATTTATTTGGAATGTTCATCTATGCTCTCTCTTTCCAGATTTTCTCTGATGGCTTGACGCCGGATAAAGGGGACTTCAGCTGACTTATTTGTGATTTTACGTAGTTTTTGATTAGCATTATATTGCATTTAAAAAAGTTCAATAAACTTCAGAATTCTGATCAGCTCTTTTGCCTTATGTGAAATAAGTTAATCGCAGGTTCGAGGCATCCAAAATTAAGCACAAACTAAGGAATCGATGGATTGTCACTCACTTGTTTTGCATGCTTCAGGTTTTTTATGGATTAAAACTGAGCGAACCACGCTTTGCGGGAAATTTTTAGCTGAGGTATTGGTTGACCAAGATAACGATCCTCAGAAGGTGAATTCTTTACCTATCAATTTTTTTCGCTTTTCGTTTCTTCTAAGAAAAATTTCTGCCAAAACTGCAATCTAGCGTCGGAACAGAGCACCACACAAAGGGAACTGAAGTGATTTGCAGAGTTGAATGTCTTCCATATATCAGCTCAAGTTAATCCCCTATTCACACGTACTTCTAAACCAGACGACGATTAGTTTCTGTGTTTTGGCGTTTAAGAGGAAGTTGTGTCAAAATCTTAGTTACCATTCGTGCAATCTCTAAATTTGTAGAACTGCCGCCCGTTAGAAACCTAGAGAAAATTTCTCTTAATGGAACTTATTGAAAGTACGTGCGCGGTGAAGGTAATTAGAATGTCAATATAAAGAAGTTTAACAATAATTCAAAGAAATTCTGGAACTTCACAGATAAAAGAAAAAGGAGAAGAATAATTATTTCTTATCACTTCAAAAGCACATCTCGATGATCGGCTACGAAGGAGACTAAACAAAATAAATATCGAACGTGATGTTTCCCAAAGCATTTTATGGCTGGATGAGATAAACTTAAGCTATATTTATGGCCTATTTTTTAACTTTCCATAACTTTTGAATCCGAAAAAAGAACTTGGAATCCAGATTTTTCTGTTCATCGTGTCCAAGTACTTTAAAAACCCAAACATTAATCCACATTCTTACATAGCTCGGACAAAACATTAAAGCTTGACAAATGAAACGATAAACATCAATAACACCTGCTTTCTGTTATTTTACAAGCAAAAATCAAAAACGGGCAAATATATCTTCAAGATAAATGATTTTAAAATTCATTGTCTTAATCTTGGGTAAAGGAAAGGGTTTCGTTCGAATTGAACTCATTGAAAGTGTAATTTTCGCCGACTCGAGAAGTAATTTTAAGTACATAAAGTACATGAAATTGAAACAATAGTTAACTTTCAATTCTTTCTTTCCCTCCTTGTGATACCATCAAAATTTAATGGTGCTCCACTAATCTTTGAACAGTTAATTTTAGATAACACAGAATGATGCATCCACTTTATTGGACGGTAAAACTTAAGAGGATAACAATCAAAAATCCAATAAAAGGCTGACAAAAGTTGCTGCATCATCAGGCACGGAAGTCCTAAATTGACTGGGTTTGTTCGGTTTTAGACTTGCAGAAGAATATCGTTAATGGAAGATGTCTTTCCTTGGCTCATACTCATGCTCTGATGCTCCTGTCCCAACTTTTTTGAGTATTATCACCGCTATCGTGGACTCCATCCTCACCATTACAGCCGTCACTGGCAACCTCTTGGTACTTCTTGCTTTCCTACTTGATCCAAATCGTAATCTGCGATCCCGCTTTAACTATTTCGTGGCCAATTTGGCTGCTGCTGATTTCATATTAGGATGCTGTGGACTCCCTCTGTCGGTAGAATACCATATTCGAGAGTCACGATCGGTGAACGTTGAAGCTTTCGATAGCAATCTTCCCCGGGATCATGCAAGGAGGATCATCATATTAATTTCGTGTACAGCTTCATTACTGAGCTTAGCAGCTTTGACAATAGATAGATTCACTGCTATAAACGACCCCTTAGGGTACAGGACTAGGATGAATACTAAACAAGCTGTCATCGTTTCTTTTCTCATTTGGTTCATATCAAGTTGGCTTTCATTTCTTTATTTTTACGCGGGCTATTTAAACTGTCGATTTTTTGTCGCTAATCTAGCTGTTATAGCTACTTTTGCTGTGTTGTGCCTGAATTATTTTAAAGTATTGAAACATTTTAAAGTTCAAGCTGATACTTGGGATGTTTTGCACGATGGCCAAAACCGCGACAACTTGGCGAAAATGAGAGCGGTTAAACGACAGAAGAAGATTACCCAAACTTTAGTGATCACGTTGGTGCTATTTACTTGCTGTTTTTTTCCAGCACTGATATTCATTTACGTGATCAGCTTTTGTGCAAGTTGTTCATGTATTTTTATACATTGGGCAAGGGATTTAAACGGCATTTTGATTAGAGGAAACTCAAGCCTGAACCCTTATGTCTTTGCTTGGAGACTGAAACGTTATCGAACTGCTATCGCCAGGATTCTAAGATGTGGAAAAACTTTGCAAAACAAAAATTGACTTGGCACATTATAATTGGATTTTTCCACGACTAACCGATGATTTACAGTATTAAGAACATGGCAATGAAGCGACTTAGAGGTTGTATAGGTGATTCTTGCGAGATAAAGAAAACAACAACAACAAAAAACTCTTGTCTTGTCAATTCAAAAACAAAAACAATCGAACTTTAATAACTTGGCCGCGCTGAGGCGCGCAAAATAAAGCGTGTGCCACAGCTTGAAGCCGCGTCGATTTCTCTCCATACCTCACACAATTTTCCCCTTTCTTGAGAGTATTAAACTCTTACTTAATTCTTCCAAAATACATTTCACAAAACTTCTGACAATTTCATGTGTTTTATTGGCCCGAAAACCAGAAGTTCGTTAAAGGTATAGGGTAAGGTAGACTCAGTCAGTTGCCAGCTGTTAGTTAATTTCAGATGCATTATTCAACCTCTAAACCGGTGGGTGGGATAGGAAAGGATAGGTAATACTTCGTTAAGGAGAAGGTGCACTTAGAGATGCAGTTGTAAACTTCAAGATATAGTTTGCTTGTGTCAACCATGTTGAGATATATTTGCCGTTCAAGCTCTTTTGAAGAATCTCTTCCAGTCTCCCCTTTTCATGAAATAGGGAAGGCATAAATTTTCCCTTTAATTGTTCAAGTCTTTTTGACGGCGTTTTCGAAAGATGTCATTCTCATCAAAGTGACCAACGGTGTGATCTCTTTGAAACAATTGGATGCAAAAAGACATGTATCGTTGAAAAAGGGTGTGTGTTAGAGGTGAACAAAATTCCTTACACGCAGAGCCTGAATTCTTTTGGCAAGCAAAGCGAAGCTTTTTGTTACATCATTGAGTAGTCATCATGTTTAATATGTAAGTTTTTATCTGCAACAAGCAAACAAACGAGCTTTTCACCTTTCGTGTTGCACATCGAAGTAAAAGGGTAGCTAACGAAGCATAACCGCAGGGCATAATTTACCTTAGAAGCCGAGCAAAAGCTGTGGCGGGATGGATGAAGGTAGTTTGGGATTGTGACACACGCATCCATTTATATCTAAGGAATCGCTCGTTTGGATTGAATAAACGTTAGATTCATTAAAAAAAAAATGTAGTCACATCGAGATTTCTACTTTTATATTCTTTGTACCAAACTTTTAAACTGTGAGTAGAAATTTTATAACTCAACTAACATAATTTTTACCGTTGTATTACATTTAATGACTGAAATTTGTGAAACGATAAAAATAGATATAAATCTAATCTAAAAATATTGTAAGGGTTTCCATATATTGCTGTTGGAAAATGAATGGAAATAATATATTACCATAGGCCGTTCAGTAAAAAGTTATTATAAACAAGTTGATCATCTTCTCTTTCTTTTAGCAGTCTTATTTTACAGGTAAAATTTGGATCTCCTTTTCTTATTGTGGTCGTGAATTTGACATGGAGACAAATATTTCTTCGTAAACTACAATTTGTGGTTAAATATTGAATTATTTCCATTATGTTGCGGAGAGCTGTTACAATTGCGAATGTGACGCTTGCGACGAAAGACGAAACTTCGAGGGGTGTTGCTAAGGCGTGTTTGCTGAGTGTCGCTGATGTCGGGACTATTTTACAGGTCGTGGTAAAACCACGAAAACCAAGATGACGGTTAACGGTGTTTATTCAGATCACGAAGACAAAGACGTGCCTATGTCGATAACGCGATTAAAATAACAACAATTAACGTAAATTAACAGAAACAAATCATAAAGGCTAAATTAAAACTACTCGAGATTCAAAGATCGGCTACACGATGAACACTTGCGGCTGGTTAACAGCCCAAAGACTAAAATGTGGGCGTTGCTGTCTGAGCGTCTAGTTCTTTCAAATTACTCTTTTGATTTCAAGATAATTAGTTGTACTATTGTACAACACAGTACAAATGTGCGCTATCACCCAAGGTGAAAAACTAAACTTAAGCACATTGAAATAAAACTAACAAAATTACTTACATATCGGTCCCGCTTGTGCCAAAGGTTTAGAACGAAAGAACTAAGGTACTGCTATTCAAGGCGAAATCTTGCGAAACTCTGGCTTAAAGGGACGCTAACTTAGCTTTTATATGCGCGTGGTGACGCTAAAAGATCCGATCACAAACCAATAGGAAAAAGATAAGTATTGTAACTAAGATCGTAACTAGGCACACAAAGTAATTGATAATTGATCAAATCAAAAAAACTGTTCTTTTGTTCGATATGCTTAACAACGAATAAAACGACCTTACCTCATAGCAATTGATTCCGTACAGAAATTTCCTTGAAATAACCCTTCACATATTTTTAACTTCTTTGATGTTCTCGTTCTTAGGTTAACTCTATGTGGAATTCCCGATCAAGGAAATATCTATTAAATTTCAATTTAGCACGTTCGACACCTCTGTCTTTAAAGGTGTAAACAACCAGTAATTTCCATCCTCCGCACTCAATTTACAAACAGGTAACTAATACAAGTAGCACTTAGCTCTTTCAGAGGCGGTACCTTGGGTTATATTACATTTATTCATTCTGTTTTATTCTATTTTAATCTATCTCCTGGGTAATACCTTAGAACTAGCCTGTGAGTGTTCCTCACAACTAAGTAATTGCATTTACACAATAAACCAGTATGCATCCATATATGAGTCACTTCCAATGCGATGGCCAGTTTGACCGGTTCAACGATGTTTCAGCTCTTTGAAATTCCAGAAAATTGCACTTGCGATGTTTGGAGCATAGTTCCATAAACGACGAGAAATCCCGTATGCTATCCAATGTTTTTTGCATCTCGTAGTAAACATTGCAACTCCAAAAAAACCTTCTCTAAGTCTCCTCATTGCCGTGATATTTGTAGGTCCCAGATACTGCAAATCCTAAGTTATTCATAGAAGTACCCAAGTCTGATAAAGTGAATCCATGTTTTTGCAGAGTTTTTCCACATCTTAGAATTTTAACGAAAGCGGCACGGTAGCGTTTCAGTCTCCAGGCAAAGACGAAAGGGTTCATACTTGAGTTTGCACGAAATAAAATGCCGTTTAAATCCCTTATCCAGTGAATGAAAATACAAGAACACCTTGCACAAAAGCTGACTATATAAATGAAAATCATTGCTGGGGAAAAGCAGCAAATAAACAGCAATAACATGATCACAAAAGTTTTGGTAATTTTCGTCTGCCATTTGAGAGCTCTCCTTTTTGCCCAGTTGTCTTGGCCTTGGCCATCGTACAAGGCATTCCGATTAGCAGCTTGAGCGTTAAAATGTCTTAAGACTTTGAAATAATTGAGGTACAGCACGGTGAAAGTAGCTACAACAGCTAAGTTAGCGATGAAAAACCGACTATTCATATAGCCCTTGTAAATATACAGAAACGGAAGTCCACTGGAAATAAACCATATAAGAAATGACACAACAAGGGCCTGTTTAGTAGTCATCCTGGTCCTGTACCCAAGCGGATCTTTGATGGCAATAAATCTGTCTATAGTCAAGGCAGTAAAGCTCAATATAGAGGCTGTACACGAGATTAAAATGATAATCATCCTAACATGATCTCGAGGGTGATCAAGTTGGAAGACTTCATCAGTCAGCGACTCTCGAATGTGGAATTCTACAGACATGGGGAGTCCCAAGCATCCCATCATCAAATCAGCAGCAGCTAGATTAGCCACGAAATAGTTAAACCGACATCGCAGATTACGATTTGGATCAAGAATGACAGCAAGTAGAACCAACAAGTTACCAACAATGGCTGTAACGGCAAGGATGGAGTCCGCGGTGGCAGCGATAATGCTCAAATATGACGGGGCAGCCACATCAGAGCACGAGTTTGAACCAGTTAAAGACATCTTCCTCTTATGAACTTTTTGAACTTCCTTACTGATGATACAACTGTTATTTATCAACTTTATTTCAATTAAAGATGCTTATTCTTCAGTTTTGAAGGCCAATAGCTTGTATGCATCTGTTTGATCTGGAATCAATATTTCAAAGAAGAGTGCATCAATAATAAAAGAATTTTATAGCACTTTTATGGATAAAAAGATAGCGAAATTTAATTCCTCCTCTTACTTTCTTTGAAAAATTGGTTTAAGGATTTTAAGAAAATGTAACAATCAGGTTTTCAAACTCAACATGATAATCTGAGTTATCCATCAAAAATGGAAAAAACTTCATCCGGTGATGATCTTGAAAGAAGTAGGTTTGCGTGCTCTTTGCTCCTAAACAACTCTTAACAGCTATAATCTAATGCTTTTTCAATTCAAGAAGTTGAAAAAATGACTGCTTTGTCGCTCATATGTACATATGCGCAATAGTTAGATATATGGAATAGTTGGACTATGAACTAACCATAACGAGTAGGTGAAAAGTTTCTTATCCTTCCCGAAGTAAGATGGCGTAATGTAGATCAATACGTTGTAGTTGAAGTTGTGAGAATACGAGAATCTCTTGCAATGAAAATATTCATGTAAATCTGATCGCTTTCAAACATTATCTATGCAAATTAATTATTCATAATACTTTTCCTTGTTACATTACCTGCAAGAACAAAGGGAAGTTTCTTATTTACCTTATTGAGGGCCAAAGAAAGCGTCCAATTTATTAATTACGAGGCTCAGGACATGCAAAGTTACGGAGTGAGACATGAATAAAATATAGCCCAAGGGCCATGGGCATCTGTTTACGAGGAAATTTCACTTAAGAGCTTAAATAACTTTAAAAAAGATAATAATAATTATATTGGCTCGAATAATTTCAATTAAGAACATTTCAGTGATGCCTGTCCGCCAATTTGAAAGACTGAGTGATTTACAGACTCTTTCGTCTCGAGCCCAGTTTTTTTCTTTGTCCAACGCTCGTGACGAAATAAAAGCATCCGTTTTTGATGATCGAGCTCAATTATAACGTTTCTTATTTTCTATTCTGCACACGGCTCGTTCGAAATGGATAATCCTCGGTTTTATCATTATGGAGGTACCTTGTCACACATAAACTTAATACTGACCGGTAGCTCACCATCAGAGTTTAATAAAAATCAGATCACTGGTGGATTTTAATGTCAAGATTTTGGTTTGATTTCTACATCTATCAGTGACTTATTGGCTTACTATTTGACTGTTGACTGACAGACAGGCAGCCTGACAGAGTGACTGAATAACTGGCTGACTGGCTGAACTTGCAGACTGATTGACTGACTGGTTGACTGTTGTCTCAAATGGGATACTAGAGTCTAAAATCCGAAACTAGGGTCTAAAACCAGACAGTGGTGTCCATGCTAAGATACTAGTATCTAAAATTCGACAATATTGTCAAAAAGTCGGTCACTAGTGTCCAACATCTGACTCTAGTGTCCAAAATCGGACGTAAGTGTCCAAAAATCACACTTTTCTCCAAAATCGAACACTATTGTATGAAAGCGGATCATAGTATCTACGAATGTAACACTGGAGTCAAAAATCGGACAGTGTCTATAATTGGGAAACTAGTGTCTAAAGTCGAATACTGGCGTCCGAAATCGGAAGATAACGTCTAAAGTTAGGGGATGAGTGCTTGCCGAACGGGGATCGGAACTCGGATCGAGAAGATGAAGATTGTCTTACTGTTAGTCTCTAAACGTGATGAGGTCGAATGATCTTGAGTCACCTTTAATGTGGCAAGATAGTTAGCTGTTGTTAGTACGCTCTTTGGTTTTCCATGTTTTCAGGAGAGACTAGTATTACGCAGCTCTGTTTGCTTTATAGTACACCAATTAAGCTCAGGGTTTTTTCCAAACTTAAAACAAGCAACTGCCTCGCTTATTTTTAAGGAGAAACTTCAAGCCTAAGCTCTAAATTGAACGTTGATGCAAAATCTTCATTTGCGTTAAAATTAAAGAAACAGTTACTCTGTGGACGATGCATGATCTATCTAGCTTTACTAACACTAAATAGTTAACCTTGTAATTTGTATATTCTCTCAAGAAGTTCTAATTTATCACCAGAAATGTACGATAGCTATTGATTGCAGTCATAATATGTCGTTATTCTGAGTTAGATATGGTGTTAACAGCGAGGTTGCTCCATTAAAAGCAGTATAGAATAGCTACGAAAATTAACAGATTCGTGAATTAAAGAGCATTTAAAAGTCTTATTGAAGTTTTTAAGTGTCATTCGTCGCCTTAATCAAGGAAATGTGATAATCATCAATGGTGTTTTTCTCCCAGTTGTTTTCGCTCGTCAAACTGGACAGTTTCATGCTTAAGAGAGCCGGTCGTTTGGTGAGCACCAGGTTGGATGGCGTGCACCTCATTTGTCCCCTTGAAGCAACACCGACCGACCTCTTGTAGAATGAGAATTGCCCCATGGCGAAATTGCTCGTTAAAGATGAAATAAATCAGCGGATTAACGCCAGTGTTGGCGAACGTCAAAAGCCATGCTGCGAAAAGGAGATTAAAACTTCTGCAGATACTGATTGAGCCTGTAAAACAAGCTATCAGTAAAAGTATTAATGGAAAACGAAAAACGATCAAGGCAACTACTATAGCGACGAGCATAGCCAGAACCTTGTGAGTTACTCGTTCGCGTCTTTCCTGATGCGAGGGCAGCTGGTTTCCGGGGGATGCCCCTTGTTTGATTTTGAATCCAATGGCGATATACATAATGATGATTGTAAGAATTGGTATCGCTATTATGAAAAAATAACAAAACAAAAAGTAGTTGATGACGAATATGACAAGAGAAAAATCGAAGGTGCAAAAAAAAATTCCGGATCGAATCTCAGTCAATCTTGACATGGCGAGCAAAGGGGCTGCAAGCAGGAGGGCAAAGGTCCACACGGCAGCCATTATACGACGAGCAGTGTGCAGTGTGATTATCTTCCTCAATGGGAAAAAAACAAGGAAAAACCGATCCAGTGTAATGAAAAAAAGACTTCCAGTAGAGACCAACATTGGCATTTGACCGATAAAGAACGAAAATCGGCACAAAATGTTTCCTGCCATTCCATCGATAAGCCATTGCATGTCACACGCTGTCATGGTTATGTACTGAGGAACTACATACAAAACTAGCAAAATATCTGAAAAAGCCATGTTCAGAATAAAATAATTATTCGGAGTTCGCATCCGTTTGTTCACGTTTCTACGCACGACCAAGATCAGCAAAAGGTTGCTAGCCAGACTTACAATTAATATGAGGACCAGTGTAGCAATTTTAACAGGTTTTGTCGCTGGGTTGGCATCTTCCCAAGGTGGCGCAACATTTGTACTGCTGTTGACTGCATAATCCTGCTCTTTGCTGTTTTTAGGAAAAGGCATTTTCGTCCGATATCTTCTAAACTAAAACGCCTATATAGAGTGTTTCTCCACGTTTGTACCTTTAACCTAAATCTCCCACGAAAAAACAAGTGAAGTACTGAAGTGAGGGAATCGTTGTTTGCAAGAAAAGATAACGTCTCATGCAGTGCCTCACAAAATCTTGACGAGAGCACTTAAGAGCAACTCCTTTTATTTCATATTTAAATTTTTGTATTTAATTACCAGTCATTCACATAGATCATTAAAACCCATCTTCAGGCGATGAAGCCTTACACCTTTTCGCTATCTCATTTGGAAAGGTGATTTTATAGATCTGAGAGTTTTTCAGAGTGCTTAGGGCTTTCAAACAAGGCAATTAATGGATGGAAATATCAAAATAAACTCTACCACGTTCGTTAGTGATTTTTCAGAGGAAAGCTTAACTTTTAATTACAGATTGCTCTATAATTTACCTGCAGACATCTATTTAACAAGCTGCGCAGCTTATCGAGCACAAAAATTTTTAAATAAAATGTAAAAAGAGAGAAGAGACGTACATTATTTATTGGGAAAGTAATTTACAAATTGCTGCTAATCAATCAAACATCAGATAACGTATCAGTATTTCTCAACTTTCTGTCTCACTTCTGTTCCTAAAAACTAGGGAATATGGCATTAACCAGTGCATAAAATTTATGTCTCCTTAAGCGCCGAGATAAATTCAGACAAGTTTTTCGTGTGTCGCTGTTGGTGATGAAATGAAAACATCTCTATGTGTCAATATCTCTTTCTGTTACTAGTCAGTAATACATTACCGATACCTCTTTTTTGATGCAAATTACGTTGCTAAAGAGGGCAATAATTATTTTCTTATTTAAATTTCGTGCTCTGGAAAAAAAAAAATAATAATCACGTAAAAGATCTCTTGACACGATTTTCCCACTCCCATGTTTGAATTTTAGGTTAAATTTCTCTATTAATTTAAGAGAGATGTACAGAAGAGAAGAAAGCTAAGAGTAATGTAATTTCTATGATGATCCCTCGAGTAGTCATTCTGCAACGAAACATGTCTTATCTTGTTCGTGCAAAAAGCATTTTTCTTTCCTCTTTGCTTTTATTGTTTGTTCTTTTGAAAATAATGACAACGTCAGACCCCTCAGTTTCATCGTAGAATCATTGTTATAAGAAACTTCTAGTTCTTGATTTAAAGGTAAATACTGACTCACGCACTCGTGAGACCTGGCCCGAATGCGGCACAGAAAAACATATTTACATTTATTCCAATCCCAGCAAGTGTCCTTATTTGCTATTAAAATGCATGGAGGGAGTTTATACAAAACTGGGTTCAATCTAAGAAACCTATCCAAAACTGTAACCAAAAATTGGGGTATAATTTGCAGATTTCTGTCATCAGTGAGAACTCTAGAACAGATTTTAATCAATACTGCCCAAAACTTCATTTGCAGCAGGACTAAGTACTTGTCTTCAAGATAAAAATTATGTAACGTTGTTTCCTCCTTTTTTTTTTCTTTCATCTCTCTTTTAATAATCATGTTTTCTCTAGAAACGGGTGGCAATATCAGCGGTAGAAATATGCCATACCCCGCGTAACATGACCAGTAATTCTTGCTAAACGCCTCTTTCCTTACGAATGCCTTGCCCTAATAAGTTTTCTTTCCTCCAGTGATCACCTCAGTCATTTCAGGAGGGTCTAAATGGGGTTAATCGACTAAGGCAAAGGGCGAAAAATATAACTGACAAAAAAAAAAAAAAGTACCGTTTATACTTACCAAGAACCGACGTGGTGCGACATCATCAATATTTTTATTCAGATAGAAGAAGCAATCTAGCTTAGGAGGTAGCCTCTTTAAATTTTAGATTCGGTTAATTACGGAATTTTCTGTCATTAAACTTGCTTAATGGCCGAAGCTCATTTCCTAAACAGCGTCCGATGCTCGAGCACACAAATTATCGCCGGAACGAATATAAATTATTAACTTGCATTTTTAATAATTGACTGAGTTTTAACAACTACCGACGAATTTAACCTCGCGACTACCGACAGAGTAATTCAATTCTTACTGACAACCGAGATGAGGATCCCTCTGTTCAGCTGCAACTTAAAGAATTTGCTCTCAATTCGATTTTATCATTATCGCTGGCTTTTTTTCGATAAATATAGAGCTGATGTCACATAGCGGTTGGCCTAAACACATAGCTTACACCATAACGTATCATTCTGAATAACTATTTGTAGTATTTGTTTACGAAAGTATATGTACATGTGATACATATCACGGTGTTGTGGAAGGTTAATCTCGTTCCCAGATTCTACGCTTAGCTGTCGAAGGTCTGGGTTCGAGACTAGTGGAGGGTATTTGAACGACTTCGCAGTAAAAAAACAGCTCAGTTACTGTTCTGATGATGTGATTTTCGTTTCACCCTTCAAAACCCAAAATTGATCAAGTTAAAAATTTATGCTGATAGTATTACTACATTAACTAACAAAACGTTGTTGGAAATAGGCCCATTATTTGTGCCATGTATAAGCGTCTACATGGCAACATTTCTGAACGACAACAGTCATAGCAGATACTAATCTCGCGGGGTTACTCTAACTCTTCACCCTGAGCAGGAGCTCATGAGCTCCTGCCCTGAGCTGCAAGAAGAAATCTTACACCTTTATTCATTACAAACTCTTAAGAGAATTCTGAAGAGGACCGCGATTTTCCATAATACAGTTCAACAGCCCTTGTTTCACTTTTTCTCGTAACCTAGATTGCGTTTAAGTAATCAAAATTTGATGATTGAGTCTTGGCTGCATACATTTTAGCCTCTTAAAAGAAACTTGAAAACAAATCAACAGACCGTGCAATCACCCACTAACCTTTTTGTTTTTGTTTTTTCGATCGAAAACACTTCACTTAGATCGTGAGAATATTTTGAAGTAACAAGACATAGAGGTTGTAACAAACTTGATAGCATTTTCGTGCCGTAAAAGACACTCAACAAGTCGCTCTCCAAAAATACTCGGTTGCCTTGTTGTGAATTTCTCTTCCAAGCTCAAAATGTGCTGTTATAAAACCCCGAGTTGGGGCAACATATTGGGGTAACATATTTTACTATTTTAATTTCATTCTTATTATTCAACTTCATCAGCAGTAGTATAAGAAAGTGTTTTTCAAGTTTGTTATTATTTTGATTGAGTTTGTTATTTCTGTTGCCGTGAAAATTAACATCGCTCGGGCACAAAACAAAGTCATCTTTCCTTATACAACAATTCTTCGGCGTAAATAGTACCTTACAATATCCTTAGCACACACTTAGCAAACCTTTAGGTTGTGGAGTGTGAGGTATGACTGCACTTTTTGCCCCCTTCCGGTGTTTTAGTTCGTAACGTTATACCGCCCAATATTACACCCTTCTCTGAACAATCTCGTTTTTGCTGGTGTAAAAGAAGTCTGTTGGAGAATGGAGTGTATACTCTGATTCACCGACTTAAAAATAACGGGAAAACTTTAGATTCTCCTACTGAAAAATGCCAGCAATCTTCGGATGATGCTACGTTTCCAAGATTCAGAACTGGTTTTCCGATCGATTGAACATTATTTTTTTTGCGGTAACTGTTAAACTTTAACTTTGACCACCAAGCTTGATTATTATGAATTTAAAAAATTCCTCAAGTGTTCATAACAAGAGCATTACAGAAGGGTTCATATTGCCACCTCGAGATAACAAACTACAATCTTGGCCGATGGGCTTTTCTAAAAGGGTGTAAATTGATTTTACCTAGATCAATCAACCAATAGAAACTAACGATGTTTTTTTTTTTTTTAATATCAACCCAACCCTTGCAAAATAGGCTTGTTTATAATATACTTCGTTTAAAACTACTTGAGCTGGTGCGGATATTTGCTCTACGAAAAACATACTCGGAACCAAAGTGCTTTAATGGAAAACATAAGTGCAACTATTTGACCGACAAACAAATGGGAAAAAAAACACGTAGCTGAAATCATTACTCCATAAAAAGTTTCTTCAAAAACTCATGTTTTGAAGACTTAGTTCTTCAAAAGGCCAGGTGTTAAAAGTAATAGATATTTTCCTTCGTTCTTGATCAATTTCTAACCATCACCGAGCAACGAAAGTACAAAATGGATTTGTTTACTTTCTTTTTCAGTTGCAAATATTGCCTCTCCATATCAAACAATAAAAAGTTGAGGAATCTTGTAATTTAACGGCGTTAAGCCTTAAGTGTTTTATTTGCTGCAGTATCTCATGCCTTAATTAATTCCTCAACATGACACTTGTTTCTTGACGTCATTTTGTCCATAGTTGTAACGGTACTCTGCTATTTAGATTTTTTAACGTTTAAATAGACTTTAAACCATGAAACAATCTTTGAAAGCAGTAGACTCGGAACAGGTTTTTTAGCATTAAGATTGATGTTGCCGTTTGATGCGCTTATAAACCCCGAGGTAGATAAGAAGTAGTGATATAGGACTACGGTGGCATTGGTGAGCAGTTGACATGCAAACGGTGTCTTTAAGTATATTGGCCCGGGTCAGAAGAGGCGCCAATTTGTCGCAGTCTACGCCTATATAAGACGTTGCTCCATTTGAAAAATAGCAAACCTGTGAAGTTTGATCAATTCCATGTCTTCAGCAGCTGACACAAACTGAGTTCTCTTGAGTGAATAGGTACGAACACCTCTTCTTGCTTCCATTTAACACACATTACACTAGTTAATCTTGTATATTTTGCGCAACAAATTATGGCGATTGCATTAATTCAATAGGTGCCTGTTGAGTAATTTGTTAAAAGTATATCTGGGTGCCCTGTAAACAGCTCTAAAGCGTAGATTGTGAACTTAAAACTGAAATAGTTTGTTCGTCTGTTTCCTTCTTTTATTTTTTATTGTTTGTTTCGTTTTATTAGTCCCTCAAAAATTTATGAACTTTCTATCGCCAATTTCCTTGTTCCTAGAAAATTCAATGACCTTTCGTTTTCGCAAAAATGTCAAAAAATATATTCGTCAACAGATGGCATATAAAAGAATTGGGCTGAGTTCGGAAACAAAAGTTTTACCATGAATTTAAAAGAAAACAATCAGTTTAAATACAAAACAGACTTGCAAATACTTAATAAGAGCGCTGATTCAGGGAAAAAGTACCAAGACTTGGATTCGTTTTTCCCGGGAAGTTTGGAGTAAAATGTACAAATGAATGCAAGTATGGATGCTTTTATTCTTCCCAGCCGAGACGAAGTTAATAGACTTATCCACAATTTTCGTCTGATATTCTTCATTCTTATAGCCCCTTCAATTCAGAAAATCTGAGATTGATTTTCCAAACCGATAAAAAGATATTCCTTGCTGGCTATTCCGGAGAATTTGATGTCAGATTGCAACGATTTCCCTAGTTGACATTGGTCTCATTTGTCATTACTGAGTGCTGATTATTTAGGACACTTTAGAGTGAAATGGTCAATGAAGACTGTGCATATTCCTTGACCGATATAAGAATTGACTGATCTGGTGAAATGAATATGTTCACCATACATTTATTCCCGTTCCCAGCTGACTTTCGATCGATAAAATTTCTCAGGTTTACTTCTTGTAGGACGCCTCAATATTGATCAAGAGTTTCAAGTTCACCATCTCTATCATCATTTTCATTTTTGCATTTTCTTCAAAGTCTTGGAACTTTCAAACGCACTCGCGCACGATGATAAAAATTGTCCTTTAATTCATAACGTTGAGAAAATATCGGGACCCAAACGAATCATTAAGGTTACTAATCACTTCACTTGCGCCTCTGCCAATGTCATCAGTTGCATAACTTGCACTAATTGCAAAAAAGTTATACGTTAGTGTTCCCTCCCTTTTCTGCATATAAACACACTCGCAAACCACAATTCCTCCATTCGCTCTGATCGACGAAGGCCTAACGCTCGAAACGTCAGGTTTGAAACTTTTTTAAGGGTGGCTTATGTACAGTTGATAATACCAAATTACCCTGTTATACTCCCCCACTGACGCAGCGCCACAGTTTTATTTTAGAAATTTACCCCCTTTATTCATTTGTCTTTTCCTTGTAGATTTGCAGGACTGGAACAGTTTTTTTAGAAATTTAATCCCTTTATTCATTCGTCTTTTCCTTGTAGATTTGCAGGACTGGAACAAGATGTCTCGTTTGATCCTGTATCTCTTGCTGGGGCTTTGCGTCATGGCGTTCAGAGCTGAGGTACGCGCTCAAGAGGAGGACGCGGACGAGGAGGACGAGGAAGACGAGGAGGACGAGGAGGACGAGGAAGACGAGGAGGACGAGGAGGACGAGGAAGACGAGGAAGACGAGGAGGAAGAGGACGAGGACGAAGAGGACGAGGAGGACGAGGAGGACGAGGACGAGGAGGACGAAGATGACGAGGATGACGAGGAGGACGAGGACGAGGACGAGGACGAGGATGACGAAGAAGAAGAGGAGGAAGAGGAGGAAGAGGAGGAAGAGGAGGAAGAGGAGGAAGAGGAGGAAGAGGAGGAAGAGGAGGAGGAAGAGGAGGAGGAAGGGGATGGTGGTGTGAGTATCACCATCAATGGTGATGGCAACACAGTTATCACCGTCGGAGATGTCAATATCGCTATCCCATCAGATGGTGGTGCCTGTGTTTCTGCTGACATGATGGTGCCAAAGAAGGATTCTGACGGTCGAGTAAAAGACGTCAGGGTCAAAGATCTTTCCAACGGGGACTTAATCCGAGGAATTCAAATCACAGATTCCACGCACGAGGCTTCATGGTGCAAGGTGGAAGCAGTCTTCCCTTCAGCAGGCGGCCAGAACAAGACCACTCACGATGGGTTCACTGAAGACCACATGGTCCTAGGGCTTTATAATGTCCACCCGTACGGCAAGAGGGGAGACGTTAAGATCGGCCCAGTGTACACACTTGCCACTGACTGCGATGCAATGGTGAACAACTATGGTGAGGCCTTTACCCCCATCAGCACCGCTTTCTGCCCGCGCTCTGTACTGAGCTTGAGCGAATATTTTACCTTGATGCAAGCTATACGAGGTGTCTTCAATCGTACAGGCTACTTCTGGTTTGACACCTCCGCATACCATGACAACAAGACTGCAAAGGTGCCCAGCTGGCTAGAGCAGCTTCCCCAAATTTGCCAACAGCTGCTGCAGTGCACACGAAAAGGCGAGTGCCAGGAGTTTGAAACTGTTATGGAAGAGTTCGTGCAAAGTCATGTCAACAGGAGATATGCGACCATAGTTGAGAGAGAGTTCCCCAACTTGGGAGGCGATGTGAGTAAGCAGCAGGCGGGCACAATCACGGAGGCAGTACGTTCGCAAAATGGAGGAAGCCACTTGATTGTCTTTGCTACTCTGGGCAGCGTCATGGTGCTGCTTATGATCTTCGCTGTTGGCGTTTTGATCTACCGCACACGTGTGATGAAGGAAAAAGCTGAAAAGGAGCCGCCATTTGAGTCAGGCCAAAATCATCCTCAAGCCTAAGGGGCAAGAAGGCGCGATGGAAAGGTTGCAAACGCGTAAAGTAATTCCCGCGTTTTGGCTTTTAAAAGAAATAATTTAGGAACAAAAAGATTAATACATGCTTGAAAGGGAACAGTAATCCAATTTGCTTCGGGCTAAAAATCGAAACTAGTCCTAAGCGAGCAGCGAGTATTTACCAACATCATGTAAAACTTTAAAGGGCGTCTAAATTCTGTCATCAAAAACTGTAAACCCGTTTTTAGTCGAAATAAAAATTAAAGGAGCCTGAATGGGGTGATGTCTCTGAAATTTTTATAGCTGGGATACAATTTTATTATAACCTGAACTACAATCTTGGTCTACCTTCTATCAAAGAAAATAAGGAGCTGTCGTTTCTTGCGTAACAGTTTTGATCAATCTGCTTGCGCTCTTTCATTTTTGCCGCGCAAAAAGAAAAAAAAAACAAGGAGCGACCTATCAGTTCCATTGCATGTTAGAAATTTTATAAATCGTATTGCCAAATAGAAACGCATTTGTCAATTGTTCTCGTCGTCTCTAACTATTTCCCCACGCCTTTCAAGATGAACACATAAACTGATATTCCATTGTTCCAAATAGAACACCCATCATGTTATTACATTCTGATTGGTTCTCGGCGGTGAGATTTATTCAATAAAAATGAAATACTAAAATAAATCAATCGGTTAGATTTCAGATCTCAGCGGCATGCTTCATTTACAGATCAGTCTTTTTCTCTTTCTAAACCCACTATTTAGACAACTAAATTCAGTGATTCCAATAATGAAATGACAAATGAACTTCTTCTCGAGCAGTTTTAGTTTGAGATAAATCTCCTTATTTCAAATTATTAGAAAGGACTTTTCAATTTTTTTTTTTTTTCATTTTCTACCTCACACAATGTGAAAAATTGGCGAAAAGTAAAATGGATCTAGTCTTTTTTGACTCATTACCGGATGAAACTAAATTTTAATTTCATGACGCTGTTGGGAAATTACTCTGCTTTCAATTCAAATATACTCGAACACATTGTAAGATGCTGTGTTGCAGCTGTGTTATTCAGGTTTGGAAATTTCTTATCTTTGGACTCGAAACTCTACTGTGAGCCAAGTGCTCGGTCAAAGGGGTCTGAGTTAAAACTTACACGTCGACGGTGATCAAAGGAGATTGGGGCGAGAATCTGTCCGTCGTCGCAAGATGGCGGTCATGAAAGGGTTTCTTGTTTTCATACTAGTCTTCCTACCAGCTTGTTTCAGCAAGCCGTTCAACACTAGCAGAACCCTCGACCCTGAAAAAGCAAATGAGATAAAGAAGGAAAAACTTTTTCTGGAAGATCACTTAAAAGGCGTGAAACTTGAACGGGATGGCCATGTTAACAAAGATTACCATCACGAAGCTTTCCTCGGGAAAATGGTAGAGAATGGCACTTTGTTGTTCGACAACATGGATGGTTACAGGCGGCTTATCGACCTCTTCCATCAAGTGGATAAGGACGGGGATCATTTGATTAGCAGGCCTGAAATGATAGAGTGGATTCACGGGAAAATCAAAGAGCACGTTCAAGAAGCTCGCGAAAACAATAGGCGAAAGTTTAAGGAAGCGGACAAAAACGGCGACAGCGTCGTTACATGGAATGAATTTCAAGAGAAGCTAAAAGAACTTAATGCCACTCGGAAGATCGAGGTTGAAAAAGAATTAGGTGAGTCATAGCAGAAAAAAGATTCGATCTTCAAAAATCATGGATATGAAATATAGAAAGCAATCGAAATTGGTGAAATGCACGGTATTTATATCCATGTACAATCTACAGCTTTACAGCTGTTAAGCTAAACACACAATTGCTCATACAACTGATGCAACACTTCCAGAAAAAAAGCTAACCAGTCATAAAAAAAATAAATAAATAAAAAAAAAATACCCCCCACTCCCCTCCCTACCCCTGTATCTTTGTCACAACAGTGTCTTCCAAAAAATATAAATAAATAAAAAAAAGAAAAGGAAAAAAAAAGTAATGTTAATGAAGGGGGAAAAGGCTAAGATTTACAGAAGTAAACAAAAATTGATTTATATTTTATGAAAATATTTTTCTCAAGTTGACTTCAGACCCTAAGAAATTTCCATTAGTTCTTTACAATGTACATCGTACAACCTTACATTAGCATTTATATTTTCCATACTGTTCTCTATACATTCCCTATAACTTTAACACAAATAATTTGTTTAACACTTCATAGCATCCTAAAATGGTGATAATTTCCTTAATTCTCATGACCCTTGTTGGATTCAAAAGTGATATTATATGGAGAAATTTGATGCTGTATTTTCTCTTAGGAGTGAGAGGGTTGATAACTTGCTACATGACTGTGAAACAGAGGTTAACAAATTGTTAAATTATGCTGCTAACTAAAGATGGCAAAATTTTTTCCAGGTACTGCAAGGACAAAGATTTCCAGTGTACCTAACCTATATTTTACCACAATTGGCAGTACTATTGCAATCTGATTGGCCAATTTGCCAATTTGCAAATTTTGATAAGAGTACAGACAACGCTGTTCACATGTGTCATGCAATGGTCATTCACCAAAAGAATCATTTTATTTGATGTAGATTTTGTGGTAGTTTGTTGAAGACTCACTTGCTGTCCACAACATTTTGACCACTGTGATAGTGAATATCATTGTCAATAAGAGTACAGACCCTGTCAAACCATTGTCTATTTATAAATTCTCTTCTGTTTGATCTACACATATTAGATGATGTTGGTGAACCCCAGGACCCAATAGTTGAGTACCATGACAAATTCAGAAGAGGGGACTTGAACATGGATGATAAGCTGGATGAAACAGAGTTCCTTTACTTTGAGCACCCTGAACACAATCCACAGAGTATAAAAGATTTGGTAGAAGACATGATACAAAATTTTGACAAAAACCAAGACAAGGTATCATTTAATTTTATTTATTTCCTTTTTTTAATTTCCCTTTTCTTTCAACTAGCCTCTCTCAATGAATGCATTATGCCAGTATCATTTACACATAATATTGCGGTTTTGGCAGTTCATTTTTAAATTTAAGAACAAGAAAAAGCAAATAACTGTAATGATTGTATTAATTACCAGTTTTATACTGTTAAACTTTAGGTATTTGTTCCAAAATTTAAAAGCTAAAAAAACCCACTTATTGGCAAGTCTTACCTTGCATAATATTGAATTTATGGAAATCAATTTTAATGATGAAGAATAATTGAGCAAATGAATATAAAAACAAAATATGGCAGGGGTGAAATTCATTGTTGAGGATCTTGTTGGAGAGAAAAATCTAATTCTTGTGAGTGGTTTAACATGAAATGTTTTTTGCATTTGGCTGTTCAACCAATTGCCACAATTTAGCAGGAGTTAGCAGGAAACTGGGCCATGCATTGGGTCATAATATTCAGCTGTAATAATTGCAGGATCAACAACAAAAAGGGATTCTCTCATTCTTATTTAGGTGTAAAGTAATTCATCTATTGGTATGATTTAGCCATGACTGAAATTAAAGTATGATACATTTTTGTCACAAAGTAGTTGCTTTTACTCAGAGTTCTCTAACAGGACAAAGCATATCAAGTTGAACCTTGCATTTCTTGCATGTGTTTTGTCCAGGTCCTGACCAAAGAGGAATTTGCACAACTGCCACCAGGAGAGGTGGATACACAGCAAGATGCTGACCTTGATGAGGACTACCGTAAGGAGTAAGCACAACACTACTTTTTGTATCTTATGGTTCTTTAAAGCATGTGGTGCAGGTGTCTAACTAAGACAAGTTTGTGTTATAAGCTTGCCCTATCTAGCCAGCCATGTTTGATTTAGAGTTAGAGTGGACATTGAGGGGAGGGGACAGGAAGACAAAATTACCCTCCTCCTCCCCTTTCTTTCCCATTAACAGTTGCTCATCCTCTTGGTACTCATTTCTTTCTCTCCCCAGTCTTCCCCTGCTGTGAAAAGCAAAGATATCAGCTATAATTTTCACCTAGAAATCACTGAACCAAAAATTACCCCATCATTTCCCAAGATGTGTCCTGGATCTCTGAATAGGCATGGGACTCTTTTAATATCTCAGTGCCTTTTTTTCACTCGGGTGGGGTGTAATTTATTGCGTGTACCATGGGTGGTACTCTTGGTGGGTGAAACTCACCTCAGAGTACTACCAGTCAAACTGGTTTTTATGTTAGGCAAACTTTGAAATGATCCAGCAATTAACCTTTTGATTTGAAAGACAGTCAGAGTGACTGGCATCTAATTTCTCCTTACAATATCACCCCTGAATCAAACGTCAAGGTCTCGAGAATAAAGGAAATGATCACCAACTAAAGAAACTCTTGATCATTGAACTAATTCTCCTTGTCAGCACCTCAGGAACTGTATGGAGAACAGTATTGGGAATATGGATACTGATTTTAGAGTGTAGAGGGTTGAATCAGCGCATGTACCTAGGGTTGAGTAAGACCAGCCAGACCCTGTTTTACTTCATGTTGGAAAAACGTTGAAATGATTCCGCAATTTAGTAATACTAGGCTTGCGAGAGCATACTTTGGCTACAAAATATCTAGCGCCTCTTTAGTATTCGTTTCTTAACCTTATCTTTCATTTGTCCGTTTACTTCAGACGCGAAGATGAATTCGTTGCTATGGATGAAGATGGAGACGGTGTAGTTACCGTAGATGAACTGACCAAATACCTGGATCCCACTCACAAACAGCGGGCCATCAACGAAGGCAATTATTTGGTGTCAATGGCAGACAGAAATCGCGACGATCAGCTATCAGAGAAGGAAGTACTTATGAATTACCAACTTTTCACTGGGAGTACAATGGCTAATTACGCTGGCTATTTACACGATGAGTTTTAAGAGTATTCCTTTTGATTCTTTGCCTGATATAACCTGGCGTAAGAAGCGAAAGAACTGGGGGAGAAAAGACATGCATTCTCAGTTGGATGTTAAAAAGAGAACAAGACAAAACAGACTTACATTTTTTAACTTTTATAGATCTATTTAGTATATTAGGGATAGAAATTATTCCATCAGATAAAGTATATTTGTGGTGTCGTTGGAAATTTGCCCGATGACCACGTCGACTGAGTTTTACAATCGGAATTCTTTATTCGTTTTCTTTTTCTTTTCTTTTTTTCTCTTCTTCTCTCTGTTTATTGTTATAAGAAGTTTGTAGGCATTACCAAGTTTGAAGAAGAAAGCCAAGGGGGAATAATTCAGGTAGTTTTAGTCAACCGGCGTCATCGAAGGGATGACCTGTTAAGACTGGTTTTCGCTAACGTCGGAGTCGAAGTCGTTACAGCACTTTTCGATAGAGTTTCGTCACACCAAAAGCAAAGCAATCGTAGAAGTCAAAGCCAAGAAAATGTCACCAAGAACCAATGAGAACTCGAAGTAAAAACAAGCAAACTGTGTGAAGCGCGGGAAAACGCCAATGACCAAGTCGCGTTTGTTTTTAGTTTTGAAGCTTATTGGTTGAAAGGATGGCGCGAGCGCTACGGACCAATCACAGAGCAAAGAGAAGGAAAACTTAAACAACCACGGATTACTTTCGACCTTCAATATTGAAAATTAGAGAAATACGGGATTCGGGGTACGTGATTTAGCAAACGGGATGCGTGATTTGGGATTCAGGATGACAGAAGTAGTCAGAATTTCTCTTCCAAATCGTCGCTATTGAAAACCAGCCTTTGACGTCGAGGAGCTGACCAATAATTAACTTTGGAAAACTTTAAAACGTGTCATTTTACGTGGAACGTGTGATACACGTGTAGCTGTGGCTGTCGAACGTCCTATACAGGATTCGTGTTTGTTCCTTTATTACTTCCAATTTTTTAATCACTCAACCCTTGACCTCCATACATCAATTTCCATACCGTTCTCCATCTTTCCTGTAATACTTACGAGGGGAATTTGTTTGACAATCAAGAGCTTATTGTATTCTCAATCGTTTCCTTCATTCTCCTGACCTTCGTGTTTGATTCAGGGGCGATTCTGTTGGGAGAAGTTAGATGGTTATCACTCTTAGGGGTTAAAGGTTTAAGACAAGAGATGAAAAAGGTCGTTTAATACTGGCGAAAGGTGTGGGGAGAGATTTCGTTAATCAGTTTCTCACTGGGTGTTGAGCCTGTGGTGTTTGGTGAAACAGGAAGACGCCTGAGCCGCCATACCATAGGAGGGGAAGATAAAGGCCTCAGTACTCGGTTAAGGTAAAAGATTGAAAAAATTGTGGGCGTAGTTAGCTAACACATGACACAGTAATGTTAACTTCAAGAAAGTTGACAAATTTATAGAGCTAATAAACATAGATATTTTATTTTTATTCCTTTGCCTTGAGGGTTTTTATTAAAATGACAATTGATAGGGTCAGCTTATTCATTTTAATTCCAATGTCTGAGCAGAGAATGAAGTGGGTGATAGAAGAAAAAGCATACAGATTTGATTTTTGTTTAAGTTCTTGCCTGTTGAATACGAGGAAGAAATAATTTGAGAGTCTGTCTGAAGGCACACCAGCAATTAAACTCACCCCTTTTAATTTCCTAGGTCAATTTAAACTCCAAAAGCATTTGCAAAATCTAGTACTCTCAAATATGTCAGTGGTATAGGCTTATTAATTGTATATTTGTCCTTGGATCTGGAATTTACAAGCTTCCCACCTCTTTAACCCTTTAACTCTCATGAGTGACCAAGACAGAATTTCTCCTTAAAATATCAATACAATATCAACCAGACAAGTGATGAGAATAAAGAAAACTATCAATTTTTTTTACCTCCACCTCCCTCCATTCCTTACCTCAGATTTGTGTCATGTCTTCAGTTTACCCCAATAAGCAGGGAAGGGGAAGCAAGAGATGGAAGTTGAAAGAGTCTTGTAAAGGAGAGAGATTGATTAACACAGCGTTTAGGAGGCACAACAGTTTAACCCTAACATCAGTGTTTATATTCTCTATACTGCATTCTATACAATTCTTAGGTGTTAACAACGAGAATTTGTTTATCAATCAAGATAATACTTAGTTGGTGCTCATTCCCCTTGTTCTCACAACCTTACTGTGTGATGCAGGGGTTATACTGTTGGGAGAACTTAGATCCTAAAGGGTTTAGCAACAGCACTCACGGTGAAGGATAATATGAGCTGCAACTGGAAAACCGGATTGCCATGCCCCACGCAGGTTATACAGATCAGTGACGTATGAATAGATATCGATTACGTTTCCCGATAAAAAAAAAGAAGTCTGTGCGCCGGTCAGTTTCCGAGTCGGCTTGAACAGACCTCTTCGACTAACAAAACATTTTTTCTTAAATTCAATCAATTTTTTCTATGTGTCATGCTAAGTAATTTCGATGAATGTTTAAGGAGCCTCTTTAGTTGGTGATCATTTTCTCAATTCTCGCAACCTTAATGTGTGATTTATGGGTAATATTCAATGAGAAATTAGATGCAAGTCACTCTTAAGGGTTAAACCCGGCGGGTTCCTACACAGCTGTTGAAGGCATGGTTTCCCTTTGAATCAACCTCTTGCAACTTAAGATTTTAACAAAGCTTTGCGGTATCGTTCCAGTCGCCATGCAGAGACGAAAGGATTCATGCTTGAGTTCGCCTTGACTAAGTTGGAATTAATATCTCTGGCCAAGTGAATGAAAGCATAGGTACAATTTACGCAGAAACTAATCACGTAGACGCAGAAACTAAACACGTAGACAAGAATCAGGATGGGAAGGAAACAGCAAACATAGAGAGCCATCATGATCAGAAATGTTTTAGTAAATCTCTTCTGCCATTCGATCGCCCGTATCTTGGCCATGTTGTTAGCGTTGTTTCCGCCCTCATGCAGAACGCCACAGTTTTGTACTCGACATTTAAAAAGTTTGGAGACCTTGGCGTTTGTGACACACAACGCGATTAAAGTTGTGACTACAGCTGTATTCACAAATACAAAGGAATACTTCAAGTAGCCATCTGAAAGTAAACAAATGGAAGACCAGAGGAAACAACCCAAATGACTTGTGAAACCATGGCAGCTTGTTTCTGGTTCATCTCCGTTCTGTAGTTTAACGGCTCCTTTATGGCGATGAATCGATCTCTGGTCAATGCAGCCAAGCTCAGTAACGATGCTGTGCACAAGAGGAAGTAGGCTACGCGTCTAGCATGGTCTCGCTGCAGAGGTGTCGATGGAATTGAAAGATGAGACATCGACTCACTAATGTGAAATTCCACTGACAGTGGAAGAGCATATACGCAAACTATTAACTCTGCAGCAACCAAATTTGCCACCAAGAAGTTAACTCGCGATCGTAGATTACGATTTGGATCGAAGATGACGGCGAGAATCACAAAAAGGTTGCCGGTGACGGCGGTTACGGTGAGGAAGGAGCAAGTAGAAGCGGTAGTGATGCTCAAAGTAATCGGAGCAGACACATTCGAACACGGGTATGCACCGATTAAAGCCATTTCATGGCTCGCACTAACCAAATCTCTAGAGGCAAAAGCAACTGCTTTAAGAGAATCATGCCTTTAAATCTGAGAGAAATTCTGTCTTGGTCACTCATGGGATTTAAAGGGTTAACAAGAAGCCGAACTAATCAGCTTTTATTTCTGTTCTTTTTTCTTAAACGATGCCAATGTTTTTTTTTAATTTTATTTTACGAAATTTCCTCATTTTCATGCGTGTAGGTGTTGTCACACGAACTCTTGACGAAGTCAGAGGTTTGATTAGCTTTAGTCAGTATTCTCCCAACCCTCCTAGTGTCAATAAAAGGCTATGTAAATACCGAAAATGTTCTCCATTGCTTTCATGAAAGATTCCTCAAGAAAAAAAAATTAAAAAAAAAAGGACCAGTGGCAAACTCTACAATCATATTAGCGCACTCTCGACCAAGCACATCTATCGACCGATTTTTAACACATAATATACGAATGGTTTAACACAAACAGACAACATGTGTAAAATTCAAGTTCTTATACTCAAACACTCAATGTAACATGCAGTATCAAAGTTTTGCCAGATTGAAAATTTGTGACTTGGAGGCTCCTGTGCATATATATATATAATTATATATAATATCTACTGTATAAATGTAAATTATATATATTTATATATATAATTTAACAAACTGATCAGGCAATTGTTTGACTACAAATATATAAAGCTGAAAAACAGCTGGTGTGAAGAGAGGTTTAATGCTACAAAGAACAATAACAGTTCCTCAAATTCTTTAGCATGTTTCAATTTAGATCCTGATAACCCATCTCTTCCCATTTAGGCTTCATAAGAGTATTTTGAGTATATGTATATGCTGTCTGCAATGCAACAAACAGAATGGTGAATTTTTTTTTCTGAATACCATTCCCACTGCTTTATTAGAGAAGACAAGTTGTTTCCAGTAATGATTATCAAGGCCAGATGCATCCCACAGTATATGAGATTAAACTCAGGACTTAGGGAAACTTTGGGTTGCCAGATAAATTCTCCTACCATATTCAGTTATAATTCTTGGCTACAATGTACGAAATTTTGATCAACTTACAACTTAACAAAATCCATATCATTGTATAAAGTAAGTAAGTCACATAAACAGACATTTATCACTTGGTAGTACATTTTAATAATTTATTACAAAGCTAGCTCTACCAGAATGTAATCTAGGATTCACTTTTGCTTCTTTTTTCCTCCTTCTTTTTTCGTGTCTGCTTTCTCTGGGCGTGGCTTCTGCCAGTCCAGTGGATTTCTTCTGTACATAGGCCATGGAGGCAACACCAGCTGAAAAATGTCACACAGTACATACAGTCAGTAGTGCAGGCATCTTGCAAGGGAGCATGGGTTTGCTGTATGGGTCAGGGTTGATGGATAACACTTGTAAATTCAAGAGCTGTGCTTTTTGGTGTCTGCAACAGCTGCATCTTTGCTCCCTTCCTTCCCCAGACTGATGTACCTTTTTTTGTTAAAGTCCCAGTTTTTCCCCTCTGTTACTTACTAAAACCACTTTTTGTTCCTCTGCCACAGTAATTTATTTCTGACTAACACTACATAAATTTAGATCCCAGTGGGGAATTTGGGAAGATTTCAGTGAAGAATTTGGGAAGATTTCAGTGAAGAATCTCGTAAATCCTCTTGAAAGGTTTTAATTGCACATGATGATCATGAAAGGTGTTAAAAATTGTAAATGTTGTTTGCATGTGGTCAATCTTAATGAATACACAGCTGAGCTAAAGGAGGAAAAACTAATTGCTTACATCCACTTGAGGAAATTTTTCAGCACTTACCAAACAGCTGACTATAAATCCAGCTGCTAGAATGATTATAGTTGCGCCGAACTGTTGTATGTAATATCCCCAAGCAAAGCCTACCACCTGTTAAAAAGAGAATAACAGAACATGTGCAATTTAATAAATATACAGACAGAATGGTAAAGTGAACAGAAAGGAATGCTACATTTGGCTTAAGAAAAACGGTACAAGAAGAGCATTGACTAGTTTTCTCACAAAATGATGATATAAGAGGCTTGAAAGGCACCTAAGACTGTCACAGGCAGGCCAATCCACGAGAGTGAAGAACCCTCCAGAGTTTGCCTTGATCCCAACTTAGCTAAGTTGGTGGTAGCACCCAAATAAACCACAGATCAAAGGAATTATCAATGAACTTCAGTTAAGAAAATTTCACTGATACAAATTCCAACACTGATGCTCTACAATGTACTGGGAGAAAAGTACTACATCACTGCAGCTACATTTTATTTCATTCAGATATTCCAATCAAGACACACTGAAAGTTCAATTGTCTACTTTTCATTTCACAAGGACTCACAAACAGACCATGTCTGGTTAAGCTTTCCCTCTTGGTCATCGACATACAATTTACATAATTATACACTCTACCTGAAACTTTCTGAATCTACTGCCAAGTTCAATTGCTCTAACTTGTAAAGAAATCTTTCTGGTTTTTGGATGGATTCATTTCCATTCAAAAACTTTCTTTCAGCTTAAAACATTGACGTATACTCTCGACTCAGACGACAACAATCAAATTTTAAGATTCATTAGGTGACAGGGATCTGAGTACTCGGTGATTTAATTCTTGGTGCACATAGCAATGC